GATAGTAATGATTGAAAGTAAATCATGACATTTCTTCCTTCACTTTTCTCTTCACTTGGCCGGCCATCTTCAAGGGGTTTAAGCAAAATTTTTGTTAGTTAAGTAGACTAAAGGAGGTAATAACCTAGAGGTCTATAAATAGAACCAATGTGATCTAAGCCTAACTTTTGCTTTATCTCACTTCCTTCTCCATATCCAAAATCGGTTCTCCAAAGCTCCAACCCTCAAGTTTTCTAAACTTTTCCCTCACCAAAACCAAGCCATCCCTTACCTCACACACACTCAAAAGTTCCCATAAATCTCACCACAAATCCTAGTTTAAGTTGAAGGAGAAAAGGAGGAGTCCGAAAATGAGGATCCTAGAGCGAGATTTTTCAATGTTTCAAAACTTGAACTTATAGCCCTGGATGTTTTGAACATTTTCGGTTACTATGACAAAACCTAATTTTAAATCTAAAACTAAGTTTGAAATCATTTTACAAAAACGGACAAGCTGTCCAGCACAGTTTCAAAAAAAAACTGGCAGCCACTGGTTCAGCCAAACGGGATCCTTAGAGGCTCAATCTCGATTTTTCACAAAAGTAACAATTTTAGATTTCGACGAGAGGAAGAAATTTCATGAAGAAAGTATTTTCAAAATCTGATCCTAAGAGGTACTAAAATACAGATTCCCGAAACGGCACAGTTTTTGACTAAAAACAGTTTCAAGAAAAACAGCAGCTACGGTTTTCAGCCAAACGAGGCCTTTAGAGGCCGAATTTCAACTTTTACCAAAAACAAAAATTTTAGATCTCGATGAAACGAGGAACTTTCGCGAAGAACAAATTTTAAAATCCGACTCTAAGATACAGTAAAACACAGATTTCAAAAACTGCACAGTTTTTAACAAGACAAAACTGAAATAGTGTCGGTTTCAACAAAAAGTTATAAAAGAACCCGAGATAGAATTCTAACAAAATACAATGACATTAAATCTTATTTTAATGAAAGTATTCATAAAGGAAGTTTACAAGAAAAAATGAAAAACAGTTTCAAGAAAAACAGCAGCTACGGTTTTCAGCCAAACGAGGCCTTTAGAGGCCGAATTTCAACTTTTACCAAAAACAAAAATTTTAGATCTCGATGAAACGAGGAACTTTCGCGAAGAACAAATTTTAAAATCCGACTCTAAGATACAGTAAAACACAGATTTCAAAAACTGCACAGTTTTTAACAAGACAAAACTGAAATAGTGTCGGTTTCAACAAAAAGTTATAAAAGAACCCGAGATAGAATTCTAACAAAATACAATGACATTAAATCTTATTTTAATGAAAGTATTCATAAAGGAAGTTTACAAGAAAAAATGCTTTCTTTAAAGAACATAGTGGTTTACCGAGCGAATTATCCCGACGGGCACCTACGAGCCCAATACGATAGGTCCGTAAAATTTTGAATATTTAATGTGGGTCCAACGCCCATATTAGTTTAAGAGACTCCGTTGGAGTATAAATTTCAGCGGCGTAAAAGTTAGAATACCATGTATAAGTTCTAGGTCGAATTGGGCCTTAATATCATACCAAGGGAAATTTAGGAAAATAAGATTTTGAGGATTTAATAAATTAATCTTTATTATCCTTTAGTAAAGGAAAGGAATATATGCTTTATGAAAATGGTTATATTTTTCTTCATAAGTTGCTAAAATAGAATAGCAAATAACAGTTAATCTCACACCCTTAATGGATGTTCATTTTCAGAAGAAAGTAAGAGACTAGGCTGATAGGTGAAAAGGGGATTCCAGCTTTGAAAATCAAGTAAGTAGGAGTCTCGCCTACAGTATAAATAGATTTTAAAGTAAACAGTACACATGAACTATATATGTTTGAGTACATTTAATGTTATGAATGCTATGCTATGTTATACTACATACACTTAAGCAGTACACTTGAATTATATGTGTTCGAGAACATGATATAGTATGTTATGCTAGGTCATATTGCATACACCTTAATAAGCCAAGAGGAACTTATAAGAGTAATCTCAGTTGAGTGCCGTACCAGCCTCCACAAGGGAGGTAACTCAAGCTCCACAAGGGAGAAAAATAATAATAATAATGTCATCCGACTCAAGGGAGGCATTCAAGTTATAATTACGGTGTCATGGGGGACCTTGCAAACCCTCGCGTCCCAATGATTGCGCGCAAGTGGTACGAACACTTGGGCCCAAAAGAAAGATAAGATAAGATAATAAGATTCTGATAAGACATCATAATTAATCATAATTAGCTCATGCATATTTATTCATGTGAACTTACAGTTATTTTGCGGGAGATAGTTCCTACTTGCTGAGCGAAAGCTCATTATAGAATGTTTATACTGTAGGTAAGCAACCGACATATAATGTCTGATGGACTGCCGGCGAGTGGACGAACGATGTGGGGCTCGGGATATGGATACCACTCGCAAATATTTCCGCAATCAGCTTTATGTTACAAATAGTTTTGTTAATTATGATTATGAAACAGATATGTTAAGGTTTGAATATTTTAATTAAGAAAGCAATTTCGTATTTTATGTTTATTATAAGACCTTTAAAAAAAATGTTCCGTAAATTTTAAAAAATTTCAATAAATACAAATTAAAAAGTTAGTTACAGTGACGGCCTCAAAAAAGGGTCGCTACACATCCTCCCCTCTCCCTAGCAACTAAACCCCTTATTTATACTACTATTAAGACTTGAAAAAGACTTCTAAAGGTTCCTAACACCTTACAGTCTGAAAAGGAAGCTTGCAAGAAAGCCATTGCTCATGAACTCATACAGGAGAAGTCGGTGTTGCCCCTCGTTGCAGAATCCAATCAGCTATACTCAGTTCTTATGATTTGTGCGTCCGATTGCGCTTACTTCTGCTTTGAATTCCTGCTCGCCTTCTCTCACCATGCTGTCCAACTAATTAATGGCGACCCAAATTCCACCAATAGATGTCAAAACCCCTTTGAAAACAGTACCAAAAGCACCACTTCCTAGCTGCTCACTGAATCCATTGGTAGCTTTTTCTAGCTCTTCATACGTGAAACTTCGCAACATCCTCTTCGAGACTTGGAGATTCGGTAACTATACCAACCTCGCCTTCCCTTTGAAGCGAAAAAGAACTAGACATGCTGCTAGCAGAAGAAGGATGTTGAGAAAAACAGAGCCACTTAAAAGCACTGATCCAATCAGTACTAGTCTTGAATTCTCTTTCTTTTTCGAATCTGTATTACTACCACCACCCCCATGTTTTGTAATGGAATTCTGTTTTCCTATTTTGATCATAGCTTTCCCTCCGACGCTGGGGTCCGTCCTTCCATTTGTGAGAGGGACTTTCATCTTCCAACACTCGCCATTTCTGAAAACAGTAACAGCGCAGAAACAGTCAGCAAGGCAAGCCGATCTGCACCAATTCTCTGTCACGCTTTCAAAGTGTTCGTACTCAGATTGAGGCCAGTCCATGCTTTCCATGCTATAGAAATAGAAAAGACCATCAGTTTCGCGAGAGCGATTTTTATCACAGCTTTGAGCATCGAAGCTTCTTTTGCACCCCTTTTTCTCGTCGTTTGGATTGATGAACGTGTAACCATTCGGGCAACAACACTTTGGCCTTTGGTCATCTCCTAGGCTGCAATAGCTGTTGAACCTGCGGGCACCAGGTCCATCTTCGTCCAAAATTCTCTTGCAGATGTTTGAAGGCATGAACTTCGCCTTATTCCACTCCCATGAGCTTTGATTGCTGTTCTTCTTCAGGTACACATTATGCCTGAAAACGCCATCATGTTCGAAAACCGCCCTTTATAATACTTCTTGCCGTGAACTAGCATTTGAAGGTAATAATGGCATATCAATAATGGTACCATTCCCCGTCTCTAGGTAGACAGAGCCTGACCGGTTAAAGCTCACCCGAAATCTGCTGTCATCGTCTGTACGGTTGCTCTTCCAATAAACGTAGTTATTGGTATCTAGTGGGAATTTTATTGTGTAGAAAGCTACAACTCCTTTCGTTTGCAGCATTAGATGGAATTTCCCGCTCGAATAATTTGTTTTCGAGTAACAAGCAACGAGTTTCCTTCCTGGTAGTAAAGTTTGTGTGGGCAACAATGTGTCTGTTGGCTCATTAAAACTCTCCCACAAATTGATGGAGTCTTTATTCACCAGCATGAAATTCCCCGTGTCGAGTACCGCCGCATAGGCAACTTCAGTGCCTGCAATATCAGCTTTCCATATTTGGTTTCCTTTCTGATCATTGAGGAAGAGGCCAGATATGGTGAGTTCAACTTTGGATCCTTCCTGAACCAGATTGTTTCCATTGGCTGACCAAACAATAGTCCTCTCAGGTATTTTGCTGAACCAGATAGCTAGCAGGAATCCATTTCTTTCGATTCTCTGGAAACCGAAAGCGAATTCCCGGATGGCAATCCTCACGACAAACTGTTGTTCTTCTGTTCAGTTAGTGATGAGCCTAAAGAAACGTTTCTTTGAGTTTGGGCAGTGGTCGAACATAACAGCATCAGATAACTCCATTACCTTCTCCATGCCCCCTTTTTGTTTGTTTCGCAAAAGATTATCTTGATTTAGTTCCACAAAGTTTGCATCAGAGAGAGTAGGCAAATACCATTAAGAAACAAATCTAATTGACTGTTAATACTTATTTCTTATCTTTATCTTTTATGTTTTGTCTTTCCCATTAATGTTATATCTTATTTGTTTACTGTATCCTACTTCAGATCAACAACAAGAACAACAGATAGTTTAATATCTTTTATTCAAAGAGAATACATAACCATGCATAGAGTTTCAGTATGCAGTTTTTTTTTTTAAAGTACATATGTCTGATCGCACTATTTCTCACACGTTTGGTTGGAGGATTCAAATCATGTGATTCGAATCATTTTCGATTTACGTGTATTTTTTGTGAGAGAAAATACTGTAACGAACCACGAATCATGATTCGAATCAGGGAACGAATCCCTCTACCAAACATCCTCGCGCAATTCAAATAAACATTCATAAAAAGAAAGAAACACACGTGATCAAAGGCGATATAGATATGGATATCTATAAGGAACTGATCAATGAAGTTGGGTTTGGGGGAACTGAAACTTCAACGGTTCCTTCAAGCATCTGAACAACTTTCTTCATTGAGGGTCTCAGTGATGGATCCTCTTGGATGCACCATATTGCAACCATTACATACTTCTCCACCCTCTTCAAGTCCTCCATTGCCTCGTCATCATCCTCCACCAAGAAATCCAATTTCCGACACGCATAGCAATCATATGCCCAATCAGCTAATATCATTTGTGCGTCATCCTCAATCTCTTGTTCAACATTCCTTCTGCAGCAAATGAGCTCCAACAGCAGAATGCCGTAGCTGTACACATCCACCTTGACTGTAACAGGCATGTTTCTAAACCATTCAGGAGCTACATATCCTTTGGTCCCTCTTATTCCGGTCACAGTTCGAGTCTGGTCGATCTTCAAAATCTTCGCTAATCCAAAATCTGAAATTCTTGCTGTGTAAGAATCATCTAGAAGGATGTTGTGAGGCTTGATATCGCAATGGATGATTTGCATGCTACACTCTTCCTGCAAATAAAATAGGCCCCTTGCAATTCCCAAGGCAATTTGCATTCTTTGGTACCAGCTTGGCTTTGAAGATCCAAAAAGAAAGTTTCCTAGGGATCCATTACTCATAAATTCGTACACAAGAATTCGGTGTTGCCCCTCATTGCAGAACCCAATTAGCTGCACCAAGTTCTTATGATTTGTACGGCAGATAGCAATTACTTCTGCTTCGAATTCCTTCTCACCTTCTTGCACCATATTGTCTAGCTTCTTGACAGCAACCAAAGTTTTCTTGTCTAAAGTCAGAGCACCTTTGAAAACAGTGCTGAAAGCGCCACTTCCTAGTTGTTCCTTGAATCCATCAGTAGCTTTTTCTAGTTCCACATAAGTGAAGGTTTGCAAATTCATTCCTGGTTTGAATTGATTTGGTGTAGTTACCTTTGATTTCTTTCGTCTGATGTGGAAAAGAACTACAAAGGCTGCTAGCAGTAGCACATTAACAAAAGCTGAGACACTCAAAAGAACTGATTCAATAAGTACAAGTGTCCAATAATCTTTCTTTTTCGAGTCTCTGGATCCAAGCTTGGAAGTAGAATTATCTTTTCTTATCTTGATTAGAGCTTTCGCACCAACACTGTAATCCATCACCCCATTTGAGAAAGGACTTCTCTTCTTCCAGCAACCACCACCATCATTAACGATTGCAAGGGCGCAAAAGCAATCACTCAGGCAAGCTTTCCTGCACCAATCCTCGCTCACCGATGGAAAATGCTCGTAATCAGAAAAAGGCCAGTTTGTGTGATCCATGCTATAAAAATCAAAATGATCAGCATCTCCCAAACCTTCATCGCAACTTTGAGCTTCGAAAGTCGCTTTGCATCCTCCCATCTCATCATTCGGATCAATGAAGGTGTAACCATCAGGGCAAGAGCAATATCGCCTTTGGTCATTTCCCAGGCTGCAGTAGCTGTTGAAACCGCAAGCTCCACCACCTATCTCTTCCGAAATAGTACAGATATTTGAAGGTATGCTTGTTGAAGATGGGGACCAGGCCATATTCCAACCCTTACTATTGCTCTTCGGGTAGACATACTGCCTGAAAACTCCATCATATTCAAGAATTGCCCTTTTATAGAACTTCTCCGTTGAAGCAGATTGCGAAACCAATGTGTTAAGTACGGTTCCATTCTTTGCTGCAACGTAAATAGAGCCAGACTGGTTAAACATCACCTGAAAGCCACTACCCTCCGTGCCGCTATTCCAATGTGATTTAGCGTTGGCATCATCTCGCGGGAATGCTCTTGTGAAAAGCTCTAGATTTCCATTCAATTGCAGCACAAACATGAATCTCCCTCTCGAATAATTCGCTTCTGAGTAGCGAGCAACAAGCTTCATGTTTAGAGACAGAGTCTGCGACGGCAATAACGTGTCTGTTGGATTGTCAAAGCTCTCCCACAAATTGGAAGAGTTCTGGTTTGCCACGACAAAATTGCCTGTGTCAAGCATGGCTCCATAAGCAACTCCAGTTCCTGAAATTCCGGAACTCCATATCTGATTACCCTTTGGGTCCCTTAGAATGAGCCCCAGGTTGGTCAACTCAACTTTGGATCCTTGTTGCACCAGATTATTTCCATTTGCTGACCAGACAACAGTTTTCTCAGCTATTTTATTGAACCAGATAGCTATTAGGAAACCTTCTTTGCCAATTTTCAGGAAACCAAAAGCGAAATCACCGGATAGCGATTCCCAGGACGAGTTATCATTGTTGACTGCCGTAAGTGATGAGCCTAATGATATGTTTCTTTGAGTTTGGGCAGTGGAGAAGCAGAGCAACGTAAGAAAAGAAATCAAGAAACAGAGAATATGATATGGTGGTGCCAAAGCCATGGTACAGAATGGATTCAAACAATATCAGATGAGATTGAATGGTGATGATTTAAAGATGATATCAGAGTAACTTACTGTAGGAAGTTTGATATTACTAGTTAGGAGTAGTGGTTACTCTTCTCATGGCTTTGGGACTGGCCTTCTCCACAAGAATTGTTTTACTAATAAAGTTAAGAGCTTTTAGAGGCATTTTCATGAAGTTTGCTTGATTTCTGATTGGTTTTACTCATAACATGAATATAACAAAAAGAATCAGCGTAAAACCTAAAATTTTTGGGAACTTGTTGCTTTGTCAATTCATTGTTATATTTTATTTGAGCACAAGTCAAAAGTCAAAGTCGCACAAGTATTAAAATAAACGATAATTATTAATTTGTTTATAATTAGTTGGGAGAATGCATTAATCATTACTAACCATTTTAATAATGATTGAAATGATACAAGCGTTTCTAATTATTAATTAGTCATACAAGTGTAAATGAAGTCAAATGTTCCTTGATTCTCCCTAATTGTTGGGGGATGTCTTTTCTAGATCGTTTATTAATTCTTACGTGTGCATTAAGTACACGATTTGAGAAAGTTTACAGATGTAATTTTGTGTGAGAGCTTTTTACTGTAGCAAAAAGTTAGATGTGACTGTTTCTGAGAGCTTTTTACTGTAGCAAAACTCGAATTTTAAACTCGAATCGACGAAATAAACAAGGCCTACGTGTTCGTTCTTTTACTTGTTTTTCTAGTCACAATGATTGACTTACCAAATCAAACCCGGCAGCTACAAAATCTCAATCACAATCCTAATAGTAAATTTGATTTTTTAGAGAACAATTTTTATTTTTAAGTTAAGTTATATGGCATAAAGTCCAAATTCCAATATATACGGGATGGACTTTGAAATTGGAATAATCAAGTTTCGGTGGTCTTGTATTGAAAATTTGGACACTTCATTAATGTAACGTAACGAATGGAGCATCTTAGAAGAAAGGGAAGAGAAAAAAAAAAAAAAAAAAAAGGAAAAACTTTGAAAATAGCGCTGCAAAAGTAATTGTTTGCCTTTTCTGATTAAATATGCTTATCGGCTTATCAAATACGCAAGGAAAAAAAGTCATCTTAAAACACCTTAAAAAACTCATGAACATTATTTTTTAACCATTGAATTAATTTTTTAATGGTTAGATCTGTGCATATTTGTATTAAAAATTTATAATAATCTACATAGAATAACTACTATTGCATGTCAGACCGTCAAAAAATTAAACGAACGGTAAAAAACAGTGTTCCACCATAGAGAATGCCACGAAAGAAATTGATAGTTGATATTGCTTGACAGTACAAACTTTCCCGAGAAACAAACACCCAGAAAACGTACAAAGCCCAATAAAACCCAAAGATATAAGTTCTCTTTCCTTCTGATTCTGTCTCTATCTCTCAATTACAACTCTTATAATAATAATTGTTACAATGCCAGTATAACATATTTTACACTCCAATCTAGCTCCAATAAGAATTAGTCATGTCACCAATGTCACCAATTAGAGAACACGTCAGATTATAAGCTGCAGACTTAAAACCAGATCAGACTTAAAACCGGATCATAACTCATTGATTTTGTAATCCTTAACTATCATAACAGACACTATCAAGTAGGACCAATCTTCACATTATCCTTGTTACTAAACAATAATGAAAGATAAAGATAGACAACTCTATATAGAGAATATTGAGGTATGTAGTTATTCTTCATTCATGATTGTGCCATTGATGCACTCTAAAGTAGCTGCAATTAGGCTTAGGGAAATCAAAAGGATCTATAAAAAACTGATAAACGACGACGGATCCGGGGGATCTGAGACTTCAATGGTTCCTTCAAGCATCCGAACAACCTTCTTCATTGCGGGTCTAAGTGATGGATCTTCTTGAATACACCATAATGCAACCATCACATAGTTCTCCACCCTCTTCATGTCTTCCATTGCCTCATCATCCTTATTCACTAAAACTTCGATTTTCCCACTTGCATAGCAATCATAAGCCCAATCTGTGAGTATCGTTTGAGTGTCATCATCAACTTCTGCTTCGAAATTCTTTCTGCAGCAAATGATCTCTAACAACACAATGCCATAGCTGTACACATCCACCTTGACAGTGACAGGCATGTTTTTGAACCATTCAGGAGCTACATATCCTTTGGTTCCCCTGATTCCAGTAGTTGTTCGTGTCTGGTCAGTATTCAAAATCTTGGCTAATCCGAAATCTGAAATCCTTGCTGCATAAGAGTCATCCAACAAGATGTTTTGAGGCTTGACATCACAATGAATGATTTGGGTGCTGCATTCCTCGTGTAAGTAAAAGAGACCCCTTGCAATTTCCAAGGCAATTTGCATTCTGTGGTGCCATGTTGGCCTTAAAGGTCCAAACAGAAAGCCTGCTAGGGAGCCCTTGCTCATGAACTCGTATACAAGAAGTCGGTGTTGCCCCTCGTTGCAGAACCCAATCAGCTGTACCAAGTTCTTATGATTTGTACGGCCGATTGCACTTACTTCTGCTTTGAATTCTCGTTCGCTTTCTTTCATCATGTTGTCCAACTTTTTAACCGCAACCAGACTTACATTGCCAAATGGTATAACCCCTTTAAAAACAGTACCAAAAGCGCCTCTGCCTAGTTGTTCCTCGAATCCATTTGTAGCCTTTTCTAGCTCCGCATAAGCAAAAGTTCTCAGATTCATGTCTGGCATGAACTCATAAGGTTGAATCACCTTCGCTTTCTTACTGAAGCGGAACAGAACCAAAGAGCCTACTAACGTTACTATGTTCAGAAAAACCGAGCTACTTAAAAATCCAATTAGTAGCATTGTTGGCTGATCTTGCCCTTTCGATTTAGTCCCCCCAGGCTTGGATGTAGAATTATCTTTCCTTATTTTGATCATAGCTTTCCCACCATAGTTGGAGCGCATCCTCCCATTCCTGAGAGGAAGTTGCTTCTTCCAACAATCACCATTTTTGAAATAAGCAAGATCACAAAAACAATCACTCAGGCAAGCTTTCCTACACCATTCTTCAGTCACTGGAATAAAATGCTCGTAATGACTTTCAGGCCAGTCCGCATTTTCCACAGTATGAAGATCAAAAAGATCACCATCCAGCGAATCTTTGTCACAACTCTGTGCTTCGAACGCTGGCCTGCAGCCTTTGATCTTGTCATCCGGATCAATGAACACGTAACCATCTGGGCAAAAGCAACTTGGTCGCTGCTCATCTCCCAATTTGCAGTAGCTGTTGAACCCGCAAGATCCACTTCCCGTGTTTTCCGTAAGGTTTGAGCAAATATCCGAAGGTATAGAGGTTGAAGGTGCCATACTCCACTTCAACCTGGAAATCGAATAATCTCCTTTAGGGTAGACATACTGCCTCAGAACACCATCATACTCGAGAATTACTCTCCGGTAGAAATCTCGTTCTGAACTAGAAGTAGTACTTGATAATAGCACAGTAAGTATTGTGCCATTCTTTGCTTCTAGACAAAAAAAACCAGACTGGTTAAAGGTCAGTTGATACTCACTGCTCACTTCGTTGCTCTGCCAGTAAGCAGTGTTGCCAACTTCAGTGGGGAAAGCTCTCTTGTAGAGCCGCGGACCTTTATCCGACAGATTAAAATGAAATCTTCCACTCGAGTAATTTGATTCGGAATAACGAGCAACAAGGATCATACCTAGAGTCAAAGTTTGAGTTTGTAATATTGTGTCTGTTGGTTCATTGAAACTCTCCCACAAATTGGCCGAGTCCTGATTAGCCAGCACGAGATTACCCTCATCGAGTAGGGCCGCATAAGAAACTTCAGTGTTGGGGGTTTTGGTGGTACTCCAAATCTGCTTTCCTGTTTGGTCAATGAGAAAGAGCCCGGATATAGTTAGTTCAACTTTCGAACCTTCTTGAACTAGATTATTTCCATTGGCTGACCAGACAATAGTTCTCTCAGGTATTTTGTTGAACCAGATTGCTAATAGAAATCCATCTTTTTCGATTTGTTGAAAACCAAAAGCAAAATCACCAGACTCCGATTCCCAGGACGTATTGTTACTGTTTTTTATGAGTATTGCAGTGAGTGGTGAGCCTAAAGGTATTTTTCTTTGAGCTTGGACGGTGGCGGAACATAACAGCATGATAAAAAGAAGCAAAAATGCTGGGGCGGAAGCCATGAAAAGGAAGGAGAAAAAACAAGTAGTTAAGTTGTCTATAACTTTACATACCAAATACTTGATACAGGAATTAGTACTGACCATTATGAACATGGTTTGGAAGTCAAAGACGCGTTTATCCATAGTTAATTCAGTCGTCATTGAAGACTGGTGTTCTAGTAATGAAGACATGTTTGGTATTTTTTTTTTTCATTCAAAAAATCAGTAAAATAATGTTTTGGTACTTCTGATCCACTTCAATGTCCATGTTTTTGAGAATAATGTGTTGTCCTCTTTTAATTGTCATGTTTTGAGGTTAAGACGAAGTATATATATTTGGACGGCATTTTGTAATCTATATGTTGTTATCAAATGACAGATGCTCCAAGTATTTTTTCTTTTTTCATAAGCCAGTTTTTTTATTAGTTTGTATTGATATAAAGGAAGAAAAAAATAAATAAATAAATAAATAAAAGAGACGCCTTGTTTTAAATTTCGTGTGTCACTTTACTAGTTGAACAAAGTTTACTTCTTCCAGCAACGGAAAAAAATACAGTTTCCTTTTTTTTTTTTTTCTTTTTTGACTTGATTTTTATTGTCTTGGGGCTTAGACATACAATACAAATAGAAGTAATTACATATAATGGTCTTAATATGTATGATAGTACAGATTTTTGTAAACAAACAAGAAAATAGGTATTTTTAAAAACAAGACACTCATAATCGGCATTACTACACGTTACTAAAGACAAGGATCTATAAAGAACTGATCAAGGAGGATGGATCCGGGGGAATTGGGACTTCAGTAGATCCTTCAAGCATCTGTATAACTTTCTTCATTGTAGGTTTTATTGATGGATCCTCTTGGATGCACCATATTGAAACCATCACTTTTCGACCCTCTTCATGTCACTCATTGCCTCAACATCATTCTCCATCAACACATATAGTTTTCTATCTTCATAGCAGTCATATGCCCAATCAGCCAGTATCATTTGCGTGTCATCCTCTGCCTCCGCTTCGAATCTCTTTCTGCAGCAAATCAGCTCCAACAGAAAAATGCCAAAGCTGTATACATCCACCCTGACTGTCACAGCCATGTTTCTGAACCATTCAGGAGCTACATATCCTTTCGTCCCTCTGATATCGGTCGTGACTCTCACAGCCACGTTTCCTTTTTGTTTGCTTAGCAAAAGATTATCTTGATTTAGTTCCACAAAGTTTGCATCAGAGAGAGTAGGCAAATACCATTAAGAAACAAATCTAATTGACTGTTAATACTTATTTCTTATCTTTATCTTTTATGTTTTGTCTTTCCCATTAATGTTATATCTTATTTGTTTACTGTATCCTACTTCAGATCAACAACAAGAACAACAGATAGTTTAATATCTTTTATTCAAAGAGAATACATAACCATGCATAGAGTTTCAGTATGCAGTTTTTTTTTTTTTTAAAGTACATATGTCTGATCGCACTATTTCTCATTGAAACTAAGATTAACACGCAATTCAAATAAACATTCACAAAAAGAAAGAAACACACGTGATCTGTAGTACCACAAGTCATGCATATAGATATGGATATCTATAAGGAACTGATCGATGAAGTTGGGTTTGGGGGTACTGAAACTTCAACGGTTCCTTCAAGCATCTGAACAACTTTCTTCATTGAGGGTCTCAGTGATGGATCCTCTTGGATGCACCATATTGCAACCATTACATACTTCTCCACCATCTTCAAGTCCTCCATTGCCTCGTCATCATCCTCCACCAAGAAATCCAATTTCCGACATGCGTAGCAATCGTATGCCCAATCAGCTAATATCATTTGTGTGGCATCCTCAATCTCATGCTCAAAATTCCTTCTGCAGCAAATGAGCTCCAACAGCAGAATGCCGTAGCTGTACACATCCACCTTGACAGTGACAGCCATGTTTCTAAACCATTCGGCAGCTACATATCCTTTGGTCCCTCTTATTCCGGTCATAGTTCGAGTCTGGTTGATCTTCAAAATCTTTGCTAATCCAAAATCTGAAATTCTTGCTGTATAAGAATCATCCAGAAGGATGTTCTGAGGCTTGATATCGCAATGGATGATTTGCATCCTACACTCTTCGTGCAAATAAAATAGGCCCCTTGCAATTCCCAAGGCAATTTGCATTCTTTGGTACCAGCTTGGCTTTGAAGATCCAAAAAGAAAGTTTCCTAGGGATCCATTACTCATAAATTCGTACACAAGAATTCGGTGTTGCCCCTCATTGCAGAACCCAATTAGCTGCACCAAGTTCTTATGATTTGTACGGCCGATAGCAACTACTTCTGCTTCGAATTCCTTCTCACCTTCTTGCATCATATTGTTGAGCTTCTTGGCAGCAACCAAAGTTTTCTTGTCTAAAGTCAGAGCACCTTTGAAAACAGTGCCATAAGCGCCACTTCCTAGTTGTTCCTTGAATCCATCAGTAGCTTTTTCTAGTTCCGCATAAGTGAAGCTTTGCAAATTCATTGCAGGTTTGAATTGATTTGGTGTAGTTACCTTTGATTTCTTTCGTCTGATGTGGAAAAGAACTACAAAGGCTGCTAGCAGTAGCACATTAACAAAAGCTGAGACACTCAAAAGAACTGATTCAATAAGTACAAGTGTCCAATAATCTTTCTTTTTCGAGTCTCTGGATCCAAGCTTGGAAGTAGAATTATCTTTTCTTATCTTGATTAGAGCTTTCGCACCAACACTGTAATCCATCACCCCATTTGAGAAAGGATTTCTCTTCTTCCAGCAACCACCACCATCATTAAAAATCGCAAGGGCGCAAAAGCAATCACTCAGGCAAGCTTTCCTGCACCAATCCTCGCTCACCGATTGAAAATGCTCGTAATCAGAAAAAGGCCAGTTTGTGTGATCCATGCTATAAAAATCAAAATGATCAGCATCTCCCAAACCTTCATCGCAACTTTGAGCTTCGAAAGTCGCTTTGCATCCTCCCATCTCATCATTCGGATCAATGAAGGTGTAACCATCAGGGCAAGAGCAATATCGCCTTTGGTCATTTCCCAGGCTGCAGTAGCTGTTGAAACCGCAAGCTCCACCACCTATCTCTTCCGAAATAGTACAGATATTTGAAGGTATGCTTGTTGAAGATGGGGACCAGGCCATATTCCAACCCTTACTATTGCTCTTCGGGTAGACATACTGCCTGAAAACTCCATCATATTCAAGAATTGCCCTTTTATAGAACTTCTCCGTTGAAGCAGATTGCGAAACCAATGTGTTAAGTACGGTTCCATTCTTTGCTGCAACGTAAATAGAGCCAGACTGGTTAAACATCACCTGAAAGCCACTACCCTCTGTGCCGCTATTCCAATGTGATTTAGCGTTGGCATCATCTCGCGGGAATGCTCTTGTGAAAAGCTCTAGACTTCCATTCAATTGCAGCACAAACATGAATCTCCCTCTCGAATAATTCGCTTCTGAGTAGCGAGCAACAAGCTTCATGTTTAGAGACAGAGTCTGCGACGGCAATAACGTGTCTGTTGGATTGTCAAAGCTCTCCCACAAATTGGAAGAGTTCTGGTTTGCCACGACAAAATTGCCTGTGTCAAGCATGTCTCCATAAGCAACTCCAGTTCCTGAAATTCCGGAACTCCATTTCTGATTACCCTTTGGGTCCCTTAGAATGAGCCCAAGGTTGGTCAACTCAACTTTGGATCCTTGTTGCACCAGATTATTTCCATTTGCTGACCAGACAACAGTTTTCTCAGCTATTTTATTGAACCAGATAGCTATTAGGAAACCTTCTTTGCCAATTTTCAGGAAACCAAAAGCGAAATCACCGGATAGCGATTCCCAGGACGAGTTATCATTGTTGACTGCCGTAAGTGATGAGCCTAATGATATGTTTCTTTGAGTTTGGGCAGTGGAGAAGCAGAGCAACGTAAGAAAAGAAATCAAGAAACAGAGAATATGATATGGTGGTGCCAAAGCCATGGTACAGAATGGATTCAAACAATATCAGATGAGATTGAATGGTGATGATTTAAAGATGATATCAGAGTAACTTACTGTAGGAAGTTTGATATTACTAGTTATGAGTAGTGGTTGCTCTTCTCATGGCTTTGGGACTGGCCCTCTCCACAAGAATTCAGTCTGCGTTGTGCTGATGAATGATTGTTTTACTAATAAAGACGAGAGGTCTAGAGGCATTTTGATGAAGTTTGGTTGATTTTTGATTGGTATTATTTATAAGAATTATAACTTTAATATATAACTAAAAGAATCAGCGTCAAATTAAATTCTGGGAACTGGTCGCTTTGTCATTTCATTGCTATATTTTAATTGGGTACAAGTCAAGAGTGAAAGCCGTACAAGTCTTGATTAATTGCTGGGGAAGACAGTTTCTAGATTGTTTATTATTTATAACGTGATAAAAATAAAAGATTTAAAGAAACTTGCTCGTTCTTTTATTTCTTACGAGATAACAACAGGGCTGTCAAGTCTTTGTAAGTTCGTAGGTAACTACCTTGAAGCTTTCGTGCTTGACACCCTCTTCTACATTTCCGTCTGTTGCCTATAAAAGACAAAAAAAGTTAGTACGGCAGCATCGTTCGTTTCGTTAATTCGAGTTTTACTATAATAAAAGACTCTCATAAACAGTTACATCTAATTTTTTTGTTACAGTAAAAAGTTCTTACATAAAATCACATCTCAACTCGAATTTTAAATTCGAATCAGCAAAACAAACGAGGCCGCATGCCATGATTTCTTTACGTGGATCGTTTTTAGCCATCCACATCAAAGTTCTTGCACGTGTGCCACGAGTTTGAAAACAAAGTATTGTCGTGACCTGTTTTACTCCTTTCTCTCTTCACAGGTTAATCAATTCATATAAATTTAAATTAAAATACAAAAAGTTAATTGTTGCCAAAATTCTTTTTAATATGTATGAGCTGGTAAATATATGAATTGTAATAAGTAATAAAGTAATAATTTATTAAGTATCGTTTCATAAGAATTGAGTGTTTTTATAAATTAAACTAAATATCGTTACTATATTTTAACTTTATCTAGACAATTGAATATGAATAATTTAAGTAATTAAAATGATGAAATTAAAATAATAAAACAAGTAAAAATGGAATTTAGAAATA